CAGAAAAATAATAATTCCACCAATAACAATAGGTTCCTCGCACTTCGTGCTAGGACGCCGTCGGGTCCTAGCGCTCCGTGCTCGGGCCCTAATCATTTGTTGGAGCCCGCTAAGATATGTTCCTTCTGATTTTAATGTGCTCTTACTACTATCTCGCTACCTGTATGTGTTACGGTCAGTTCATGGACCGCTAATAATTTTCTCTCGGTTGTATCATTCATCGCTTCACAGTAGTTGCCACTGTCAGATAATTCAGCGTAATCTTTATAAATCACAGCAGAATTGTGTATCTCTGTCCCTTTCAGCGTCCAGGTGTAAATGGCAGTTGGTACAGATGCAGCTGAGCAGGTTAATTTAAATGTGCCTCCAACATGAATCTGAATTGGACCTGTGATTTGATTTTTCAAGATACTCACAATAGTAGGAATTTATCTCTTCAAGTTTAACAAAAGTTTTCTCTATCTTAATTTTTTTTTTTACATATTTTAAAGGGTACCTATCATGCAAAATGCACTTTTGTACGTCTTTTTATATATGTGTCCCCGGTGTGTCAGGGAACTCACCAAGTGTCAGAAAACACAACCCTCTCTCTTTTCCTCCATACCCAAAACTCTAAAAACGGGGCTGCAACGGAGCTGATTATTATTTGAATTTTTCTGACGTCAGAAAACGGGTGCTCCGCCTATATGGGCAACTCTCCACCTATCAGGGGAATGAGAGACCGCTCGAAAGCGCTGGAGATGCTGTAGTACATATGCTAGGCCTGTAAGTGGCGCTGTAGTCTGCCACAAAAGCAGAGTCAGCCCTTGCAAAAACAGGGCTGGAAAAGAGCAAATAGAGCGAAATGAGGCATGGCTAAAATGCATGGTTTGGTATTTTGAAAAAAAAACTTCACAGACATGTTTTATATAGGTATGGCTCTACAATATATGTTTCAAATATAGCATGATAGGTTCACTTTAAAGCAAGTTGATTTGAGTACACCTTTCTTATCACACCTATACTGTATGCATTAAACCTCTCAATGCAAACTTACTCAGTATAGAAACAACTGAAGGCTGAGACGTTACTCTTTTTCTACTAATTCCTTAAGGCCAAATATCTGTTTCTTTATCTCCTAAATCTTCCTTTATATTAAATGGCTAGACACGTTGTCTGTCTGCAGGGCACGAAGCATAGGACTTTATTGCTTTTTTATTTAATATATAGACACATTATTTTGAGTACATCTTTTAACTAACACATATTATGCTAGTGGACACTATCTTCAAATATTTCCACTAACCGTGCTATTTCAAACTTACCCACAGAAACAACTGAAGGCTGAGACGTTTCATATCTCAGAGTGTTGTCATTAAAGGCCTGACAGCTGTAGTTTCCTCTTTGGTTTTGCTGAACGTTCACCAATTTGAGCTCTGGTCCATCAGACAGCAGGTCTCTATTCAGAAACCACTTAAACTGGGCTGGAGGTCCGGAGTCAGCTGAGCAGGACAGGCTGATGTCTGATCCTTCCTGATGGTGCTCTTTTGTCGGAGATATTGTTAAAATAGTATTTTCTGGGCCATCTGAATTTAGCAGCAAAAAGTTAGTATTCACAACTGCATTGTTATACATATACAAGGATATTGTTTGTATTATTTAAAACCCATGCGTGAATCAAACTAAACAAGGTAAAACCCACTTAAATCGGACAATTATCTAAACTCTGATTGCACCTAGATTGGATTTGGTGTATATACTGAGCATGCAGGTTAGTAACTCACAGTAGATGGTGAGGTCTAGTGGAGCACTGTTTCCCTCACTGAAAAGATTGAACACATGACACGTGAAGGGTCCCTGGTCGTAGCGGGTCACATCAACTATAGTTAAAGTGGATCCTCCATCAGTGATCTGAACTCTGTCACTTCCTGTAACCTCAGAGCTGCGGTTCAGCCAGAGGAAAGAGGGGAAAGATCCAGAGCAGGAGCAGGACAGACTGACGGAGCTGTTGAACTCCACCAGCTCTGTGCTGCTGGAGTTTACCATTACATTGGAGACTGGTGCTGTGGGTGAAACACAAAACATATCATATATTTGCCCCCAGCTCATAAAGGTACTGAAGAATGAAACCCTGCAGTAGCTGGGAATCAATCCAGATATATAAAAATGCCTGGCTGCGCATTGCCACTAGAGGAGATACTCTTTCGCTCAAGGACCAAAAACACTATTTTGGCATTATACAAACTGTTATGCACAACAGAGAGACATTCAGATTTTGTTAATATGTTGTCAGACTGGCATTGAACTGGCAATTGTATTTTCAGATTGTTTATTTTTGGTGGTAGTTTAAGTGACATTGTTGACTTTTAACAGCAAACAATGCTACTTATTTGATCAACAAGAAGTAATTCTCCTCAACTTACATTTTCGTACAGAGACAACTACAGTCTGAGATGTTTGAGTCATCAGAGTTTTGTTGTTGAAGGCCTGACAGCTGTAGTTCCCACTCTGACTCATATGAACGTTCATCAGACGGAGATCTGATCCAGTATCAGACATCAGGGCTCCGTACAGAAACCACTGAACAAAGGCAGGAGGTCCGGAGTCAGCTGAGCACGTTAGGATGATGTCTGATCCTTCGTCATAGTATTCTTGTGACGGAGATATTATCAGATTTATATTTTCTGGCCCAACTGTGGCAGAAAACAAAAAAACATATGGTTACCCATAAATTATAGCGAGTAAACGGCAGCAAAGAAAAACATCACACATAAGATCTGGGCAATATATTGATACTCTACGAAATCACAACATTAATGCTGTGTTGCAGTAAAGTGGTGGAATTGTCTTAATGATTTATCATATGTTTGTACTTATTAAGTGATTTTATCCACATTACTTATGATAATTTATTAAATATTTCATTGTGTAAATATTTTTTGAAAGCACCATATGTCACCCGTAGATTATTATATTAATATCTATATTGAGACATTTTTATAAAAATCCATATCTCCCAACCATACCACAGATAAATAATGTTTTTTGTTGACTTTTTACTTATTGACACCAGGAATGTTATTTCTTCTAAAACTATTACATTTCACATACAGTATGAATAAAACAAAACAAAACAATTTAAAAGAAATATGCCTCCAAATGTTGCATAAGTAATGTTAATATTGAGGGAAAGGGTACTCATGATGACATGAACCCTGACTCAATATAAATACTTTTTTAATTGTCTGGGATTTGAAGGAAACATAAAGGTTAGTAACTCACAGATGATGAGTAGGGTTAGTGGAGCACTGGTTCCCTCACTGACAAGATTCGTCACCTGACAACTGAATGGTCCCTTATCGTGGCGCGTCACATTATTTATAGTTAAAGTGGAGTTCCTATCAGTGATCTGAACTCTGTCACTTCCTGTAACCTCAGAGCTGCTGTTCAGCCAGAGGAAAGAGAGAGGGGATCCAGAGGAGGAGCAGGACAGACTGACGGAGCTGAACTCCACCTGCTCTGCGCTGCTGGGGGTTACCGTTACATTGGAGACTGGTGCTGTGGGTGAAACACAAGTCATATTTGCCACCACCTCATAAGTTCATCCAACACTAAACGAGATGCAACGTTTGAAAAGTTCTCTCACCTTTTATGTTCAGTATTGTGATCCCTGTCTGTGGCGGTTCTCCAGGTAGAAAAATGGTTACTGAGTATTCTCCACTGTCATTTCGAGCCAGGTTCCTGAGCTCCAGAGATCCAGTAGACATGATAAAAGTGATCCTGTCTTCATACTCTGGTGCAGGGAAGTTGTTAACATTCCAAGTAAATATATTTTCAGCACCAAATTTCCAGTTCACTGATTGAAATGTTGTTCCTGGAGTCAGTGTTGTGGTGAACATCACTTTCCCTCCCACAGCTGCATTCAGACCGTCTGGCAACACACCAGCTCCTTCAGTTAAACCTGGAGAGAGACAGAGAGAGGGACCTGCTTTGGAAATCATTCAAAACACAATACAGCAGCAGACAAAGTAATATTTCTGCTCTGTGGAAGCTTATAAACAGTTTATCGGGACGTGAAAGACCGTTTTCAATGCTAAGTTTTAGTTTTACAGTATTTCTAAATTACTTTCAGCTCTTGAACCAAACAAACAATGTGAATAAAGTCAGGGCAATCTTCAAGTTACTAACCAGCTGAAGTAGTTGACATGTTTACACAGAAAAATCGGCATTAACCCCTCCCTTATGTGAAGAACATTACTTATCGCCAACATTTAGATTTAAACAACAGGGAAACAGCTTCCAACAGAGAGAAACTTACTTTCTGTCAATAATGAATGGTTTCTCTTTGATAAATAAATGAACAAACACTTTAAATAGAAAGAGCTCACCTGCGATGACTCCCAGGATGATGAAGTGTATCACAGCTTTTTCCATGTTTTCCTGCATTATCATCAAACAACCTAAAAATGGGATCACAGTCCTTCAGCTTTGCTTTGCTTATTTCAGATAAGACAGAACAAGGCAGCCCTTCGTGGGCGGGGTGTTACTATAAGTAACACCCCGCCCCGTAAGGTTTACCTTACCAGAACTGCTGTTGATCATTGACAGTGTACACAACAAGCAATTTATAAATGACCCTTTTATAATTAATAGAAAAATGGCCTCTCATAAAAGAGCTTGGTTTGTATTATGTCCAAACAACATGTAGATACCATGGTGCTGTGGAGTCACACCAGACATGATGCAAAGATTGACCAGGTGGCTTTTCTCCCACTTTTATAAAGTTTTGTGATTGCACCATAAATGTTTAAAATGACACACACAAATGCTCACCAGGGGAAAACAATACCAGTATCGCTGTTGGGCAGTGTTAGGTGTGACTTTTCATAAATTGCTTGTTGCGTACACTGTCAATGATCAACAACAGTTCTGGTAAGGTAAACCTTTTAGAGGCATAATTATACGAACGCCCTGCCCACAAAGGGCTGCCTTCTTCTGTCTTATCTGAAATAAGCAAGACACTTCACCCCAAATGGCTCCTGTGGGGATTGTCCACAATACTGAACGTATGTAAGTTGCTGTGAGACTGACCGTTGAGCGGCCCATACCAAGCAAGGAGGCAGAGGCAGAACGTCCAAAAATATAACCCGACGTGGGCATTTATTCAAAAACATGTGCACAAAGTTCACAGCCTCAATCATGCTGTTCTCCTTTCTCACATCCTGCAGCCACAACGATCTCACACACACCCTCAGCACTACAAGAAACAGCACTTAAATATACAGACTAACAAGACACAGGTGAGGGGGAGCAATTAGACACAGGTGAGGGGGAAGGAGACAACCCAGGGCCCCAGGTGCGCACATTCAGCAGCCACAGACATCAACATATTTTGCACCCTGATTACACTCAACCGCTGTCATCCCCACCAGCATACATGCTCTCGGCGCTCTCGCAAACTCCCCTATATTCTCAGGCGGAGCCGAGGACCCGACCAGCACCTGCCAGACGACACTCCAATAAATACGGTTTAATCAGCTAAAAAATACTACTTCAATAATTAGTATAAATGATGTACAAATACGCAATGTTAACTGTACTGTGCAATCACGCTAATAAAGTGCAATATTACCCGGCCCAAAGCCGTCAGTCCATAGTGGCGAAGTTACCTTTGTCACAGTCGCTTTGGATAAAAGCGTCTAAGTGACATGTAATGTAATGTAATGTAATAAGCAAAGCAAAGCTGAAGATCTGTGATCCCCTTTTTAGGTTGTTTGATGATAATGCAGGAAAACATAGAAAAAGCTGTGATACACTTCATCATCCTGGGAGTCATCTCAGGTGAGCTATTTCTATTTAGTTCTCGTAACGACCAGGGGCGGATCTACCGGGGTGGCATGGGGTGGCAATTGCCACCCTAAAAAATAGCCTTGCCACCCCAGTTGGCATCTTTGTTTTGAAAGAAAAGC